GAAGGAGAGAGGGGAGGAAGGTCATTGCTCATGAAAAACAAAAGTGGTTGTTGCATACAGGTTCCATGTCCCTATCAAGCACAATCCTTACACCACCCCCCCTTAGGTGGTTGGATGAGATGGAACTGAAATTTCCCTCCTGATGCAACCGATTCCTTCTGCTGGTTTGGCTTGTCAGGACACAGGTCTGTTTTGCCCAGACATTCACCTTTGCGTGATCTGGTACAACTGCACTGCTGGAGAACCTTCTGAGAAGGGTGCTGTTCTCCCTAGCAACACTGTTGTGCCAACAAAGTGGATTGTGAGAGGTGAGTACCAGTCTGCTGTAACCCCCCCGGATATCGTGGCAGCTTCTGTGGGCCCCACCTGATCACAAGACACTTCGGTTCATGGGTGGCATATATTAGCTTACTGAGATGTAGCTTCCTGTCTAGGTAGAGGATGAGATTTCCCTCTCTGTCTCATTCTTGAGGCCCAGGACTACACCTAACGCAAAAGGTAGCGGCACCCGTGTGCGCTGGAATTGGACAGGTGAATTCCGGGGCTCACCTCAAAGGTGTGTTGATGGGTACCTTTGTCCAGGTTGAACAATCCTCTTTACATGCTGTCATCAAGGACGCCATTTTCATCTGTTTCCCATTTGTTCGGTCAGTCACAGGTTCAGCTGGGCCACGATAGTTTCACCCAGGAGTCCTACTGTAGCCAGCTGTACCCAAGAATGATGTAACCTGCTTTTTGGCCTAGGGAGTAGGCTAGGCCATAATTGCCTCAGCCTCACCAGTTGCATACCTTTGGGGGTCTCTTCCTACCTTTGGTTCCCAGTGCTGAACCTCTGACAGTTACATTGTTTGACTGTCAGATATGCACTATGCACTGGCAGTTTGTTCATGGCTGGTGACAGGAGTCCAAGTTGTTCTCCCCAGACACGGGCCGAACACTGCAAGGCTCCCAAAGTAGGCAACTGCACACGGCTCCACTCAACACCGTAGGTCATTCATGACCCCCGGAGAGGTGACTGGTGCGTTCTCAACCCCAACTAGCTTTCCTGTAAATTCAGGCAAGCCACATGGGGTTGTGAAGGATGACTAGTTCTGAACCTCCCGTCTTAGAAAGGTTGGTCCATACCCTCTGCTCAGGTCCATGACTGTTAGACAGAGGGCACCTGCCAGCTGCTCCATTACCTCATGGATCCTGGACATGGGGTAGGCTTTAACTGCAGGGCTGGCGTTCAGTTTTCCAAGGTCCTCACAAAGCCTGGTTGTCTGATTCCTTTTGGGGACTGGGACTATTGGTGATGCCCAGACCCTGTGGAACTTCTGAACCCCTGACTGTGGCTGTCCCTTTGTCTCTTTGGTCCATTCTGTCTGCGCCTCCTGTGAGCCTAGGTGGGCTGATGGCATGAAGGCACTTCATGAACAGCATGGTGGGCCCTCCCAGGGTTTCTCTGAGCCCAGACACCATTTACCATAAGCACTGCCAGCAGCTACTGTACCTGGATGGAAAGAAAGGGTGATTGTAGCTGAAGGCCTAAGCTCTCTCCCTGAGGGCTGGCTATCAACTCCAATAGGGCCCCTCGCGCTTCCAATCCAGGAGCACTGCCACTGCCCATGACATGTGTTGTGCTGGGGGGCTGTGGAGGGGTGAATCTAAGCCAGAAATAATTCTGTGTGACTTCCTCCCTGGCTTTAGGTTTTCCTCATGGACCTTGACAGGCCATATCAGGTGACACTCTCAATACATGTCCCCTAGGCTGACTGGAAGCAATGAGCAGCTGGTTAACTCTTCCAGTCCCCAAGACCTCTGCCTGTAGACTATTCATTCTTAGCTTCTCACTGTCCCAATCAAGCTGTTTATCTTTCTTAGCAGGGAAGCTCACAGCTAGCCTGCTCATGGCTTCAACACCTTACCACCCAGCTGTCCTGTACCATACAAAGACAACTGCTGGGGGGTTATTGAGGCAGAATCCTCTGGGCTGGAGCAAGAAAAGGGCCTATCCAGATCATCCCTTTCCTCAACACCCAGAGACTGTACCTCTGCCCACTTCACAGATTGTGGGTGACCTCCAGCAATGAAAAAGCATCATCATTACATTCAGTAGTTACATTGTTAACATCAACTACACATGTGTTTGATACCCGCACATGCAAAGGGGTCGCCTCTCCTTCCCTAAGAGATGGAGAATTCTGTGAATTCTGTACCTGGACCCTCTCCTCACTCTCCCTCTGTCCATCCACAGGTTTCCCAGATTTTAACCCAACATCTGCACATAGTACCTTGGTATGTCCAGAGAGTTCCATGGGGGCATCCAGGGTGTTCTTAGCAGGGGCATATTAGGAAACAAGAGTACCTAAATCGGCACCCAACAGAACGGGTGTGCTGATTTCATCCGAGACTCCCACCTCTCTCATCCCACTTCCTGTATCCCAATTGATGAACACGTTAGCATGGGGTATGCATGAACGGGTCCCCCAACTCCGGTGATGGTAAACAACTTTCCTGGGATGATGTCCTTTCTTTCAATAACCTCTGGTCTGATCAATGTAACTTCTGCCCCTGTGTCAAGGAAACCAGTTACATTCTGGTTGCCCACAGTGACTGGCTGCAAGTTTGCGGTCGTTACCCAAGTTTTCCCGCGGACAAACAGCACAGAAGAAGAGTTGCTGTATACTGAGATGTTCAGATTTCCCACAGGTGTAATATCTGCAGTTGTCAGTCAGGGATGGCTTGGCCCCAAGTACTGCAGGTGCCGGCCGCTGAGGAACTTGACTCACCAACGTAGGAGGGGTTGCTATAGGTGATTTTCCTCCTTTCCAGCCATTTGGAGGTGCCTTGCAGTGGTCAGATACCTGAGTGTTGACGTACGTATCTGCCAGTTCTGCTGCTGCTTTGGCAGATGCTGTTCCTTTCTCCAACACAAACTGTCTGATGTCTGCTGGACAGAGCTGCAGCAGCTGATCTTGGATCATGAAATCCTCCAGCGACTTGAAGGAGTCAGCTTTCAGGCCTCTGGTCCATTGCCGGAATGTGGTGCGTAAGCGAATTACCACATCCGTATAAGAGTCCCCAGGTCCCTTTTGCAAGGACCTAAATCACTTCCGGTACCCTTCCGGGGTTAGCTGATACCACCAGACAATTGCGTCCTTTAGAGCTTCATAATCGTCATCCTGATCCGCTGGCAATTCGCCATAAGCATCCAGGGCCTTGCTGCGCAGCCCTGGTGTCAGATACCAAGCCCATTGAGCTGGGGGCAGATGGTATTAACGGCAAGTTTTTTCAAACAACAGTAAATACATGTCAATGTCACTGTCCTTTTCCATTACCGGAAATCTGGCTGCTGGGCCCATGGGCAGAGAGGTGTCCCTGTGCTCTAGGGACCCAAGGTTCTGAGCCTGTTGCTGCTGCTGGAGGCTAGCCATCTCCAGTTCGTGCTGGCGATCAGCCTCCCTCTGCGCAGTCTCTCTGTCAGCAACTGCCTGGCATTCTGCAGTCTCTCTCTCTCATCCGCTGCCCTGCGCTCTTCTCTCTCAGCTGCTGCCTGGTGTTAATCATTAATCTGTTGAAGGCTGCCACTACCATCAGGGAATATTGTTTCCATCAAGGGGTGTACTTGGTCAGCAGCAACGTTTAGGTACGTAGATGGTACATGGCAAAGAAACATTCACGTGAATGGCAGAATCCAAGGTTTCCCAGCATAATATTGCCCAAAGCATCACACTGCCTCAACCATCTTGCCATCTTTTCCTGAGGTAAGCGACACACATGCACCCAACCATTCACACGATGTAAAAGAAAATGTAATTAATCAGGTTAGGCCACCTTCTTCCATTGTTCAGTGGTCCAGTTTTGATACTCACATGCCCATGTCCCAGGAAGGGCACGTTTTGCTGCCAATATAACCAGATGGAAAAGGAATGAAAACTAAATGTATGCAGTCACCATATCTAAGGACTGGGTAAGTTTCAACATACTACATTTTTGTTCTTGGATTTGGATACGCTTTAAATTAGTGATAATCTATCCACCTCAAAGATAAATAAACCTACTCTTTTTTGGACTCCCTGTTTCTATTTTTCTGGGGAACACCTCTGTATCCTGTCTGCTTCTAGTGGATCAAACACTCCCCTTCCCCTTTGTTCTCCTCTATTCACTCGCTGGATCCTGCTCTTCCCCTTGTTCACTTGCTGAAACACTTTCCCCAATGCTTACTCCTATCTATACTAACTACAGGAACTAAAGTTCAAATATGAAACATGTTATAGCCCAAAACGTTATCTTCATGATTTCTTTAAAACTAGAAATGTGAAAATGCTGCAAAATAACTGCCTCATTACCTATCATACTAAACAAATACAGAGAAGGAATGATGAGGAATTCCTCAACACACTGCAACATAAGACCACAATGGTGCATTTTCTGTCTGCAGCACATGGAACATCTCTTACTAATAAAGTCCATATCCCGACATCAAACCAAGAAGATGACTGAGGACTAAGGCTGCATTCACAGTTAAGCGTTTTGTAGCTTGAAGCTCAAAGCTTGAAACTCCAAAAATGTTCAAACTTAAAAAATCAATTGTTCTCTGTGGTGCCTGTTTGTGTGATCAGGTGTGAACAGGCACTATAGAGAACAATTGGTTTTTGAAGTTTGAGCTTTTTCAGAGCTTGGAGCTTCAAGCTACAAAACACTCAAGTGTGAATGCAGCCTTACTGAGGGGGTGTTACCACATTGTCCTACAAGGTCAGTGTTGTTAACCACAGATTGCTCTCAGGACGCCTGATCTTTGACTACAACCCATTACAAGTCCACACTTGGGACAGAAAAATTAAAATGTAAAGCTCTGTGAACTTGTGCAAGTACTGAATCCTGGCTAAAACAAACCCTCCTATGCACAGAATGGGCACACTTTTGTTAGTTTTTACGAACGATCAGAACTGATATGTTAAGGTCACATGCAGACCAATTCTTTATTGCTGAAAAATCATAGTTTCTGTAGATCTCACCTGAACTTGATCGGCCATATAATACTGTGGTTTCCAATCTGGAATTCGCCCCATTCCAGGTTCCCCATTTCCAAATTTCTCACAGAATGTTCCATACTGAGGCTGGGAGTGCCCACAGCGATGGGGATCATGGAAAGCAACATAGAGAAAGAACGGTCTGTGTAATAATAAAGGTTCAAATATCAAATGTTATTACAAATTACTGGATAGTCTAAAATCTGCTCCACCCAAAGTTCAACAGATCTACTCTCATCTCATGATAATTTTCTCCTAGAAATGTCTGTCTACTGTCTTGAAAAAGGTTATTATATCTCATGAGGTGTTATTTTATTGTCATCTCAAATGGAACCTTTTCCTTTATATTACACGAAATACAGCATTTGTTTGGTTACTGCAGCTGTGCAAATGTTTATGTCTTCTGCATTGTTGCTCTTGTTCATTAACCAAAAACCTGTTGTGTAATTTAGAAGAGACAGTGAACCAAACTTTCCGCAACTGGGACTGTTAGTTTTGGCACACTGTCCCTGGCTCAAAAACATTATCAATATACTGTACATGAGACTGGTGCTATACATTGGGGTTGATTAAATAAATGTAAACTGACTGTGCACTTTGTAAGTGCAGTTGCTCCAAAGCTTAGTAAAAGAGGTAAACTTCACTTTACAAATAATAATACTCAATGCAAAGGAAAAAAGAAACAGCAAAGCTTCCCCTCATTTACTAAGCTCTCGAGCAGCTGCACTTCCAAAATGTCTATCTGCCTTTATTAAAGCCCACCTCTGGCAAAGAAAATTTTCACCATGCAGTGGGGCTGTGCCTGCTCATTTTTCTAGGGGTGAATAAAAAGTTCATACTCACCTGATCTGTTGATCTTCAGGAAAGTCGCACTTCCCCACAGTCCAGCGGTGGATTGTCATGGTCTATGGAGCATGCTGACATAAGAACAGTCAATTTTCAAGATCACTGGACCTCAGGGGAAGGGTGCAGGATCCCAAGGGACTGGTATTGTGTGGGGAGGATCGGCGGGTCAGGTAAGTATATCTCTGATGTCCTCTTCCCTAGAACAAAATGAGCAGTTAATCTGTTGAGTGCAGGCACATCCTCACTGCACAGGGAACAAAACATTTTGCCTGGAGCTCTGCTTTAAATCAACCCTACTGTTTGTAACAGTTCCTAGTCATATCCTTATTACACTATATATTTTTTATTTTTAGAGGTGTTGTCAGCAAAATGCACTAAAAATTTATCAAATCCTTTTCTTTTCCAAATTAAATAAAATTCATAAAAGTATATATATATCCCCAAGTGTGATTCCAAAAAACTATAGTCCTCTTTTTTTCTTCCAATTATTTCTTCCAAAAATTATCTCTCTTATTTTTACTCTTTGTGTAATGTCCAAATATTCATGAACCTCAAAAACCAAAAAAACTCAACATAGTGTATTATCCTTATACAAAAAGGAAATTAGTGCCATTCATTGTGAATTACATCACACACTAAAACTGTGCATGTGAGAGAAGAAAAAAAAAAAAACTCTATATGTGAACACTACAATAAACAATCGTGATCCACTCAAGTGGTAAAAATATTATTTCAACCCACTGCACCAAACCAAACAACACTCCAACTCGTGTAGTAGTGAATAATTACCCCAATACGGTTTCAATAAAGCTTGTCAAACAACATAAGAGATGGCATCAGACTCCTGGGTCCAGATGAATCCTGGGATTCCTCCTCCACTCTCCCCAATACTGTTTCAATAGGGCTTGTCAAACAACATAAGGGATGGCATCAGACTCCTGGGTCACATCACATAAGGGAACTACCGCATGTTCCCACTTCCATCTTGGAAGTGGGAACATGCGGTAGTTCCCTTATGTGATGTGATTTGTGTCTTTGGGAAGCTGATATCTACAATTTTAAATGTGAGTTGCCAAATAAATTTCTATACTCTATGGTGCCTTCTCTAATTGCCAATTTATTTATGAGGAGAGTGGAGGAGGAATCCCAGGATTGATCTGGACCCAGGAGTCTGATGCCATCCCTTATGTTGTTTGACAAGCCCTATTAAAACAGTATTGGGGAGAGTGGAGGAGGAATCCCAGGATTGAAACAGTATTGGGGTAATTATTCACTACTACACGAGTTCGAGTGTTGTTTGGTTTGGTGCAGTGGGTTGAAATAATATTATTAACCACTTGAGTGGATCACAATTGTTTATTGCAATGTTCACATATAGAGTTTTTTTTTTTGGTTTTTTTTTTTCTTCTCTCACATGCACAGTTTTAGTGTGTGATGTAATTCACAATGAATGGCACGAATTTCCTTTTTGTATAAGGATAATACACTATGTTGAGTTTTTTTGGTTTTTGAGGTTCATGAATATTTGGACATTACACGAAGAGTGAAAATAAGAGAGATAATTTTTGGAAGAAATAATTGGAAGAAAAAAAGAGGACTATAGTTTTTTGGAATCACACTTGGGGATATATATACAGTATATATACTTTTATGAATTTTATTTAATTTGGAAAAGAAAAGATTTGATACATTTTTTGTGTAGCTTTCAAGGGTGAAAGTGAGTGTTTTTTCTTTGGGATATTTTATTTTATTTTATTTATTTAGAACTTTTTAGTGTGTTAATTAGTAATTTACAGCAAAATGCACTGTTTCAATCCAACAGACCCAACAGTCATGACATGCATGCTGCTGATTCTGTGTAATTGAATCACTGAGGGGGGCATGTTCAAAATAATAGCAGTGTAGAGTTCTACTAGTGAGGTCATTCATTCTTTGAAAAACAGGTGGCAATTATTGCCCTTATTTAAGGAAGGAAGGCAGCAAATGTTGTACATGATGGTTACAGTGCATTTCTCTCTGAAATTCTGAGGAAAATGGGTTGTTCCAGACATTGTTCAGAAGAACAGCGTACTTTGATTAAAAAGTTGATTGGAGAGGGGAAAACAAATAAAGAAGTGCAGAAAATGATAGGCTGCTCAGCTAAAATGATCGCAAATGCTTTAAAATGGCAACCAAAACCTGAAAGACGTGGAAGAAAGCAAAAAACTACCATTCGAATGGATAGAAGAATAGCCAAAATGGCAAGGACTCAGCCAACAATCAGCTCCAGGAAGATCAAAGAAGGTCTAAAGTTACCTGTGAGTACTGTTACAATTAGAAGACACCTATGTGAAGCCAAGCTATCTGCAAGAAGCCCTCGCAAAGTCCCACTGTTGAAAAAGACATGTGCTGAAGAGGTTACAATTTGCCAAAGAGCACATTGACTGGCCTAAAGAGAAATGGCGCAACATTTTGTGGACTGATAAAAGTAAGATTGTTCTTTTTGGGTCTAGTGGCCGGAGACAGTTTGTCAGACGACCCCCCAAACACTGAATTCAAGCCACAGTACACTGTGAAGACAGTGAAGCATGGTTGCGCAAGCATCATGATATGGGGACGTTTCTCATACTACGGTGTTGGGCCTATTTATCGCATACCAGGGATCATGGATCAGTTTGAATACATCAGCATACTTGAAGAGGTCATGCTGCCTTATGCTGAAGAGGAAATGCCCTTGAAATGGGTGTTCCAACAAGACAACGACCCCAAACACACCAGTAAACATACAACATCTTGGTTCCAGACCAACAAGATTGACGTTATGGAGTGGCCAGCCCTATCCCCGGATCTTAATCCAAAAGAAAACTTGTGGGGTGACATCAAAAATTTAGTTTCTGAGGCAAAACCAAGAAATAGAGAAGAACTGTGGAATGTAGTCCAATCATCCTGGGCTGGAATACCTGTTCACAGGTGCCAGAAGTTGGTTGACTCCATGCAACACAGATATACAGCAGTTCTCAGAAACAGTGGTTATATAACTAAATATTAATTAAGTGATTCAAAGGAAAGCAACATCTTCAAACATTTTTCATTTTATATAGTGAATGTTTGAGCTTGTAAAGAAGAATACAAAACACTGCTATTTTTTTGAACAGTCTAATATTCACTTTTCTTCAATATTTTTAGAGGAACAACACAAATTTGATATATTTTTCTTCATGTTTTGATTTGGAATAGAATGTGTAGTGTTCCCAATGCATTTGTGTGTATGGAAATAAAAGCTATTAGAAGGATTTTGAGCTTTATTCACTTTTTTCAACACACTGCTATTATTTTGAACACAACTGTATATATAATAAAAGAATACCATATTTAAACTAGTAAGCGCTAAAAATAAATCTTTCCTATGGTTTACATATTTTGACTTTGTTCGAGGCAAGTCAGTTTAGTTTGGCAGCTACCATCACTGTTTTCCTGTCTATGTTTCAAAACAAATGCTTTATCTACAGTATATGATATTTAATCCATCATTTTTTCCTTTCTTTCATTTTTTTTTAAACTTCAAACTTTTTCTTTTACTATTTACACAGAAGAATTTTACAACGTTCCCCCGCTGCTGCAACGGAAAACTGGCTGCAAGTCTTCCTATGTATGCAACAAGCTCCACTCATTTTTGACTTTGCCTAGTCCTGCTGTACCTAAAGCCAGCCATAGATCGCTTGATTCCCTCAACCACACAGTGTTGATGGGGACATCCCTCCCACAGAGCCATTTTGTTCTCCTGGCTGGGGAGCCATCCCCACCAGGAGAATGCAATGATTACTGCTAGAGGCTATAATAGCAGCTAGCAATAATCACATTGAAAATCCAACAGGCTGGTTGTACCAAAGTTGATTGATCAACCAACTTGCGTGCCCAAACATGTTTCGAATTTCAGCCAGTCCCTACTGAAACCAGCCAAGATTCAAACTGTCTATGGCTGGCTTAACATATAAAAACACAACACAGCACAAGTCCCCAATGGTATCTTGCAGATTCAACCACAAGACACAGTGTACTGTATATCTAGGATTACACAATTATATTGATGCATTTAGTGTTTACTCATAAGGTCTCATTATGAGATAGTACTGTGACAGACCCAACCAGGGCAGGGGACCAGGGGCTAGCCTTCTACCCACTAATTATGGCCCATGGAAAGAACAGATCATTCTCTAATGATGGACAATGATGAACGCTGAGAGCAGTGCTTGAAATACTTCTCTGAGTAGAGATATTATAGCTTCCTTTCTGGAGTGGATGGATAGGTGTAATATTAATCTTATACAGGGTAATGGTCAGAGTAATAATGGGGCCTTCCTGCAGACTGGGTTGGGGAACCTCCTCCACTTGGGACAGAAATATTTATCAACAATCTCCCTCAAGAATCTATGAAGATAGATGAATTCCATTTTTTCAGAGTGTTGGAATATTGTATGAGCTTTGTCTTATGATGGAAATTCTATACAAGTGAAAGCAAACACCTGAAAGACAGCATGTGTAATGTACTTTGTGTATTCAGGGTTGGAGGTACAGACCTGTCTGGGGTAGGCTCCCTGACTTGTCTGGGTGCTTGGCTGTTGATTAGCTTATATGTTAATTAGATCACTGTTACATGTTAGTTGGTAGCTGTTGATTAGCTTACTGGTAATTAGATCACTGTTAGCTGTACTGTTTACCGTTTGCACTGTTTAGGATAATGTGATCAAGCCCTTACCTAATCAGTGTGGGATGTTTATTCTGATGTACAATATTTGTATTTAGTATTCATGTGGTGAATGTTCCAATTTCTAAAGTGTATAAAAACCTGTATTTCTGTTCAATAAAGGATTTCCAGTTCTGCACCTAAGCTAGTGTTGCCTAGTCTTGGGTGCGATGCCCAGCTATAATACCTTGGTCCTGTGTCTCAGCTGTGAGGAAGCAGTTCTCTGACGGAATCACCCAATCGGGGTGACAGGCAGTCCGTCACAAGCACCTTAGAGTAAACATTATGGGGTATATTGCCTAAAACCGGAGCACTTAGGTCTGGTGCAGCTGTGCATGGTAGCCAATCAGCTTCTAACTTCAGCTTGTTCAATTAAACTTTGGCAAAAAAACCTGGAAGCCAATTGGTTTCTAGGTAGAGCTGCACTAGATTTTGCACTCTCCAGGTTTAGTAAATAACCCCCTAAATGTGTGAAATAGGTCAAGATATTTGTATAATACTGAATGTACAGTTTGAATAAATACCGACTGAAACAAAAAGTTTCAATCTTTGGAGAAGCAGTGCTCTCCCATATGCATAATAAAGCTTGCAAGCTGCACGATAATAATTCTCTTTAGGGAATCCCATAGTCCAATGGTCCAGCATCCATGTTGCCATGTTTTGTTAGTTAAAAGAAATGAAATGGGTACATTAATGTTTTCTTTGGAACCACAATACTTTACTGACTGAATTATTAGGTAATTATATCCCAGTATAGGAACCCTGACACAAAACAATGTTTTAACTGTGTACATGTGTTGAAATAAATTAAAAATGCACAACAGGGCATGGGGACAAAACACTGAATATCATTGGAGCAGTGGATATTTTCTATGCTCCAAATAACTTAATTACTAGTTTTTACCTTTGATCTTTGCTTTGCAAAAATTTTCTGACTAACGCTTTGATTCGTGTTATGTTTCGTCCAACTTGTAGCACTGAGCTGTTTTCTTCTGTGTAGGCAAAATCAAATGGGTAGACAGACTCTGGTCCCACGTGCTTCTTCCCAATTATTCCTGTAGAAAATAAGCACATAATTAGAAATACTGAAACAAGGCAAGCATGTACAGTATATGATCATTAACACCCACTATCTTGGCATAATCAGAAGTATATACGGTAGGTGTCCTTTCAATATTACATTCAGCAAATATATAATAGACATAATAGACACACACACCTTGTATATATTTGAAAAATTTGAAATTAACTACTGGATTGTCATGTTTGTTTTCATGTTTGAATTTCACACAGTTACCTGTTCGGATGCCAGCCTGGTTAAGCAGCAGGGGTAAACTCTTCACATCATCAAATGAATTAAAGTGGTGAACATCTTGATGAAGGCCGTATATACCATTCTGGTGCTGCACATAAAATGATATTGAGTTACAAAACTTAAAGTAATCCTATGATTTCCCATTGCCTATGCTTTTAAAAAAGTGCAGACACCCTGACGTCTTTACCTGGTGAATCACTAACCAAAAACACACATGCAAGATGGAAGCTTAGACTCATTAGAGGTCATTGGTTACATGCATGTTCCAGGCCAGTACCTCCCTAGCCAGTGAAACTAGGGTCAAAATGATATCCTCAGATACTATTCCATAATTGTCAGGAATAGCAGTCCCAATATTTCCTTAAAAATAAGTATTTTGGGGGGCGTGGTCAAGATGCAGACTGAACAGACGTGCTTCCCAGAGCTCTCCTGGAGGGCTATCCGATTTTCTCTTGTTCTAGACTTACCTGCTCTATGTGGCCACATATTGGACCTGTATGCCTAACAGAGCCTCTGGGTGGTGAGAATGGTAAAAAACCTCTGGTTCCCTTCATGTGCAGTTGCTGTGTCTAGCCTGAAACCTCTGGTGGTGGGAACTCCGGTGCACTTCTCAGATATGGCCTCCCTGATGGATCCGGACGCATGCCTGAAATAATTACCACTTACCAGGCCATGTTAACTTCCAGATTGATGCGGTGACACCTTAATAACTTGATATCGATTTGATTCACCAGGGCGTGAGATCCGCCCCAGGCTCACCACCATCTAGCAGTTAGTCAGCCACATGGAGGATATCATGGCGGAACAAACCTCCTCCCTACACTCCCTGCAAACCAAGCTTAGGGTCTTAGAAGGGCTGAGGATGCTGCCCACGAAACAATCTCTGGATTGTGGGACTCGCAGAGGTTAAGAACCCACTGTCTTTGTGGAAGATTTAGCATAGCTCTCTCCATACTCCACGATAGAGCAGGCTCACCATGTACTGCCCAAACCTGACCTGGAGGGGTCCCCTCCTTGTACATGAATTCTATAGCTGCTAAATTTTCAGGACTGGGATGAAATGCTTAGGGGCTGCCCATGTCGTGGGGGATTGATTTATTAAAGATACAAGGTCACAGGATACACCCGCCCAGAGCATTGGTGGTGCAGTTTTTTAATGCACATATTGCTCTGGGTTTGTGAGTATCTTTCTATTTGATTTTAATAAACTGATTTACAGTACTTTGCTACGGGTGATTTTATCCTTTCCTAGGTATTTACATATGGTGATGAAACCGGATTTATTGAATGAATTTGAGGTAATCCTGTGGTTTTTGTGAGGGGGATCTGAGGCACTGACAGTTGAAAAGACCAACCGGTTTGGAGTCATCCATCCATCTATCCATGATGGGTCTTGTTTCATCCAAATGAGACTTTAGACCTCTTATCATGTGAGGTCTAAACTTCTGTTAAGCTGCCTCTTTTTTCACATGGTGGCTGGTGCACTTTGAATTTATCAGGATATTAAGAATTGTCATTCACAATGGACTTTTCACAGTTGACACATTGGGACTTTTGTTGTGATTTATTATTGCTAAATTTATACGACAGAGCAACATTTATTCTCTTGAGATTGGTTTAGATATTTTTGTGTAATATCAGTGAGTGCTGCTGTCACAATTAATCATTTGAGGTTGCAATGAGTTGGTTGAGGTTGCCTAGTGCAGGATACAGTATATCACTGTTCTCTTATAATGGTTTGTCAACGTTTTCTTCAAGTTCGTGCCCTTGGCTTTGTCCAGGAGACTGTATCACATACTGTTTTTGTCTCTCCAGCATCTCTACCAGAGGGAACGTCGGTTCTGCTTCTCTTCTGATGCACAATTATTGCTCTAGTGTGACATTATAGTGTCCCCGATTTGGGTCATGTCCTCCACTTAGGTTGATAGCTCCTATGAGGCGTGTTTTGGGATTTGAACATTGCCCAAGGCTTTGGGTTATGAGGGGAGGGGGGGATGGGGTGGTCAGCCATTGCTGACCTTGTTTGTATCTTTAGTGTTTTAGTTTTATGTTCTTATGGTTTAGCTGTGATATATGATCAGCTCTCATTATTTACATGTGGTTTCACCTATCGGAAATTAGGTACTTTTATTGTACACTGTAGGTAACTGGGTTGGGTAATGCTCATTCCCCTGCTATGCCCTGGGCTAAGCAGGCTGGATTCATATCTTTATCCTCTCATACTATTTCTTATTTTGTACCTTATGGCCAAGTTCTCCACTGTCTCATGACTTAATTTGGCTGTGAAAAGGTCCCTAGTGTTTGCTCACCTCTGTATACCTATTCCCCACCTATGTATTCTGTAAGAAACCCATTTGATGGGCTTTTGAATTCAGAGTTTGAAAATGGTCTGGATGAGTACCCACCTTCATGCTACCTATTCTAATTATGCCAGAGGAGTTAGTATTCTCATTCATAGATCCTTACAGTTTCAACTAATGGAGGTAACAAATCAACCCGGGAAGCAGATATGTGTTACTTAATGCTTTGATAGCTTATACTGCCTTTGTTATTGTGGGTCTTTATTTGCCACCATCTTCTGTTATTGCTCTTCTTTATACAATTATGCAATTGGTTTCTCATTATGGTGTTGCTAATGTGTTAATTGTGGGTGATTTTAATATGGTGCCTTCCCAAAACCTGGAAAGACTCCCCTCCCCCACTACTTGGGTTCATGGCTTTTTCTAATAGGCATCCTCTTTTGCTCTGAATAATGTGTGGTGGCATTTCCACCCTTCTGACAAGGAGTACACCTGCCACTCTGCCTCCTATCAGTCTTTGTCCCACATAGACTTGATTTATGCTTCCTCCGCAGTGTCACATACCTGGTTGGGGAGCCTGACGTGGAGATAGGGCGTCCTGTTGCGACTCCCACTCGGAGCCCCTGATAATGGGAACAGAGAGCACAGAGCCAGGAGTTGCAAGAGTGCCGAGTGGATCTGGAGCTGGCGGCAGGTAGCTGGAGACCCCAGAGATCCGGATGCAGGCCAGGTGCAGGAACGTAGGTGCAGCAGCAGGCAGATATGGCGGCGATCAGGATGCAAACTGGGACTGGACACCGGAGCGTGGATGCAGTGGCAGGCAGGTATGGCGGTGACCAGGATGCAGGCCAGGTGCAGGACCATGGGGACAGTGGCAGGTAAGTATGGCAGCCGTAAGGATGTGAGCCAGATGCAGGCGCAGGTAAGTGGATGTAGAAGAGTCAGACAAGCCGGGTCAGTATCAAGCAGGCAGATCGAGTACAAGGGAGCAGGCAAGCGGATGGTCAGGGATAGCTGAGGTCGGTGCAGGCAGAGTTCTTTCTTAGTCAGGATCAGATCAGAATATAGCAACAGGATCAGGTAATAGTGCAGGGAACGTTGTAGACCAGAAGGCATTGATCTTACTGTTGTGCAGGTTTAAATAGCCCGTCTGGCGTGACGTGTATGCTTACTGCGCATGCGCACTTGCATCGCTGCGGCTCAAGGGGATCCGTCACCATTGCACGGCGACAGGATCCCTGACACGCAGTCTTACGGAGGGTGATATCTGCTAATATCCTGGGTAGGTGTATCTCAGATTATGTCCTGCTACTGGTTTTTTATACAGTTGGCTGTACCTGGGGGCCGAGGTGTTTGGAGGCTGTCCAGATACTCGATTATGGAACAAACAGTACAGGAAAACTATCCTTGAGACCATTTGCCAGTTTTGGCTCAATAATGAGGATTCTGCTAGCCCTTTGATTGTGTGGGATACATTTAAGATGTGGCTTCAGGAGGAATATATCACTCATTTTGCTGCTGTGAAAAAGGATTCTGTGCGTATTCTGGACCAGTTGGCTAGTTTTGCTGCTTACCAACATGCCCTGAGGGAGGTTTCTTTGCTCCATGTGAAGTTGATGACTTGACTCAGAAGTCCCTCCTCTCTACAGCCCAATGGGTATTTGAATATGAGGATAAAAACGGTAGACTTGGCCTGGTTGGCTAAGGGGCAGTTGCCCATACTAGAAAAATTAGGGGTTTAGAGGAGGCACTGTTGACCTAACTGTATCTATGACAGATTCTTGCAGTACTACCAATCGTTGTACTCCTCTAGAGCTGACTATAGTGCAACCAAGCTTAGTGCCTATCTTAACCATATTACATTCCTCACTCTTGACCCCAAGAAGCAAGACAGGCTGGACCGGGACATAAAACTCTTAAAGATGTTCAGGGTGCCCTCAATCACTTACAATCGGGTAAGGCCCCGGATCTTGATGGAATCCCAATTGAATTCTATTCCCTTTATCAGGAATTGTTGGCACTTAGGCTCACTTACCTCCCTGGGACATCTCCCAGAATCTACGTCTGAGGCTCTTACTGTATTAGTGCCCAAACCAGGCATAGATCCAGAACATTGTGCCTCCAACAGGCTGAGTTCCCTGCTTAACCGTTTCAATACCGTGCAATTTTACACCTTCCTGCCCAGGCCATTTTTCAGGTTTCAGCGCTCTCACATTTTGAATGACAATTGCGTGGTCATACAACACTGTACCCAAACTAAAATTTTATCATTTTCTTCACACAACTAGAGCTTTCTTTTGGTGGTATTTAATCACTGCTGGTGTTTTTATTTTTTGCTAAATTAACAAAAAAAGACCAAAATTTATTTTAAAATAACACGTTTTTTTTTTTTGTTTCTGTTATAAAAGTTTACAAATAAATAATTGTTCTTCATAAATTTAGGCCAAGATGTATTCTGCTACGTCTTTGATGAAAATAACCCAAATTAGGATGTATTTTTTAGTTTGTAGGAAAGTTATAGAGTTCACAAACTATGGTATAGATCTTAATATTGATCAATCCTGAAGTACTGACGGGCAATCTAATTTCTTGAGGTCCAAGAATGTCAGAATAGTACAGATATCCCCAAATGACCCCTTTTTGCAGAGTAGACAGTCCGACGTACTTCATAAGAGGCATGGCGAGTTTTTTGAAGTTGTATTTTTTTGTCATAATTTTTCGGAAAATGAAAAAATAAAAAAAATTATTTTCACTATTTTTTTCTTTACATACTGTCACCAGTGCAGTA